CCCCCCTCCCCAGACTGGGAAGAATAAAAAACTCAGTTCATGTGCTTTGACATGGATCCCGCCAATGGGCGAACAACCAGTAAAATGCTGTTATAGATTGGAAACAACTAATTTGAAATAATACAACAATCAAGACACCCATTTCAATTAGGCGACTATCTGCTTAAGATTTAAATATTTCTGGCAAGTTAAATTGACCTTGAGGCTTGATCCAGACCCGTAAGCTGAAGAGCCGGTTGCCAGTTTAAGCTCATCTGATGATAGTCCAGCAGATGAAGAGCCAATTATCATAGATCTGAAACAATCAATTTAAGAAAACATTCAAACCCTGGCACAAAGCTAAAAACTTCAGATGACTACATTTACTTTTCAAACTTGGACCAATAAGAAGATACAAATAAAACATTGATATTATTTCAGAAAGATGCATAAAACAACAGATGAGTAAAACAAAAGAAACAATTCAAAAGAAGAATTATGTGCAGAGGAAGAAACACCCTGACATGAGATGGAGAGATCGGCAACATAAATTAAACAAATGTATTCTTCATTTGCTTCCAATTTGTGGTGTTGATTACAGTGCAAACATGACATTTATTTACAAGCGAATTTTCCCATGTTTATTGCAAGGATGCAAAGTGGCAAGGCGATGTTGAAGACCTAAGTGAATTAATAAAAAGGCATTTCCTTTCATTCTCTGATAAGAAGCCCATATAGCATTAATAAAAATGAGTTACCTTTCATATGTCTCTTCTTCACATGAATTTCCTGATGAAGAAAGCCAGTCAACATCAAGAAAATTTGAACAATGAAATGAATCGCCGCGTTCGCGGAAACAGATGCTATCAGTTTCAAAGCATTGTTCTGGTTGCATGTCTGGGAAAAGCTGTCTACGAGACATTGAGGGGGTATACCTACAAGAAATGGCCACCGTTAGAGACAGTACAAATTGATAACTTCTTTAGAAAAAAGTTCAAATAGTAGCAATTAATTGAATAAGAAATAAAAAATATTGTTTTCCTTAACAAATAGGGCAATGAATAATAAAGCTGAACAAAATGGACATGGATTGGGCCTATATGACCACGATGTGCAAGTCACATGCACAGAATCAACTTCTCTAGTTGTCCCTTCAGATAAAACAAATAATTACTCTCTGATATTCTAACATGAAGTGCAGGGTCTGCACGAAACAAACCAGGTATGCAATTTAGAAATATCTACAATTACAATTGTGCATGTTTCCAGGCAATGACTTGTGAGGAATTTCCGTCTGTTCTATGCTTGCATCATCAATAGGAGAGTTGCTATCACATAGAATGTTTCCATCTGATAGAGATCTTTTGATTATTGACCTGCCCATTAAAAGTTTCACCATGTTAACCATACCTAGGAAACCAAATGATATGATGCATTTATGAATAACAGCTCCCCTCGACAAGTTCAACAAAAACTGAGCTCTCCATTCACTGAATCCATGTAGGTTTACTTTATCCCTTTAACAAGAATTTCACTTAGTGTGCATTTGATGCACCAAAATTTTCCATGAAAAATGGAAATAGAATTTCATTTCCAACTTTATGGTGTTTGATAGGGTTTTATTTCCATGGAATTGCCTTTTGTTGCTTGTCTCGGGAATTGATCTTTTCTTGGTTTTTAAGGAAAACCAATTCTCACCATTGGTGAGAATTTGAATTCCATGTTACTGTAGCATTTTTATTTTTACTTTTATTTTTTGAATTTTTATTTATTTATTTATTTTTTTTGGGTAATGAAAACAAATTCTAAGATTTATTGTAAAAAAATATTTCATTTTAATTGACAATTTTCATGTAAAACAAAACCAAACGAACACCCAAAGATAAATGATTTTCTTGATTTTTTTTGTTTTGACAATAGAAACAAATTTCATTCTCAATACCAGTAAATTATATCCCTTTAATTAACAATTTTCATGTAAAACAAAACTAAACGGACATCAAAAAACACTCTAATTTAAACATTTTTCACATGGAAAATTATACCAGTCAAACATAATAATTTACAATTCCCAAAAAAATAATTTCCCATAAATTCAATTCTCTAGAATTCGTTTTCTTTCCACCCAAATTTCACATTTGCAATCAAACAGACCCTTTTATCTTTCTTTTAAGTGCTTCTTTTGCAGGAAGTCATGCCGTTAGTTTTTGGTTAATATGTAAATATGTAGTATTGACCATGCTCTGATAATCAGACAAACATAGTTTCCGAAAGATTCAACAATGTGATGCAGGAGGATGCAAGTGGAGTAATGCTGAATTGTCAAATAGCTCTCTTCGGTGCGCACGTCGTGGCCACCCAGCTATACTCGGTGGGCATCAATTTCAAGCCCAAAATCCACTATTTTCCTTTCCGAAATTCAATTTTTAGTTATTTTTTGCCATTTATGGTAATATTTCGTTTCCCTTTTCCCATATGTTAGAAAACCCGAATTGAGCCAAATTTTTTACAACCTACTTCTTTTACTTAATATTTTATTCTGATGTAATTTCGGAATTTTGCCATTTTTGATAATTTTCCTATAATTTCATATTTTGTAGCTATTTAACCCGACTTGTGAGTTAATTTTGGTCATTCTGCATTATTAATAATATTGAGTTGATTTCAGAGTATTTTCTCTGATTTTTGGACGTTTTCTTTCGTTTTTTCTTACGAATCATCTGCTACAATAAGTCAATAGGATAATCACTATCCTATCCGGCGTCACAATGTGAAGGTGCTGACCAGGTGGGGAGAATATTGAAAAAGAGATGCAGATAAAATAGAATATACCTGCAGTTTTCGGGTGCAAAACTTCAAAACCCTAATATTGAAGCCTAATTGTTTTTCTAAAAACACTTCAGACTAAAGTATGAAATAATACGCAATGATCCAACAAGTATTCCTAACCCTTTATCAGAAATGTAGACTCGACTCCTTATCAGTAAATTACCAAAACTTCTCGACATACATCAAAACACATTACCAAGAATTTTCATCTCCAACGTCAGAACCACGCCTTCCCACATTGTAATGCTGGTCAGAATCTAGTTCCCAAAGAGCTGGTTTCCCCTGTTGTGGCTGGAAATGACCCAAGAATCTGCTCAAATGTGGAGAATTATGGAAACAGTAAATTCAGAACCATTTTTTATCAAATGCTGCACATTAAGCAATCTTGTTCTTGCTGCGTCTTAAAAAATGGGCTCTTATATTGACTAAGGACTCTGTTTGTTCTCTTTCATAAATAATGATATTATATCAAGTCAAGACATATTAGGGATATTATACATTTTTTTAGCTGCAAATCTTAAGAACCACTTGACTTACACGTTTATAGAATCTTGTTTTTCAGCATCCATGTAGGCATTACTGCAGTAGCGTTGAAGAGTTCTCAAGAACTCTTGAGATTGCGTCGCCAGTTTCAACTGGCCCCTTGTCTCTGAGAATATCTGCTCAGTATTCCAAATGTTAAGGATAGAGAATTTGAAACATTTCACTACAATGACTACAAAAAATTATAAGGTACAATTAACCTTAATATGAACTAAATGATTCAGATATTCTATGTTCAATCAGTAGAAAGACCACAGAGGCGATCAAAATTATTCATTTATTTTTTAAGAAAAACAATAGTTACAGCTTTTTACCAGCCATTATTAAAGCTCACTCTTCTGAGCATCATGAGTTCTAGAAATAATCAACTAGCAACCAACAAAAGTTTTTTAATTTTTATAACTTTCTGCACAAAAATACGGAGTAAATACTTTCTATTTGCAAACAGATGGGAAACACTAAACTTCTTAGACATATCACACAAGGATTACCTTATTGTGTGCTGCGGATCCACCATATTGTAGTGCGAGGGTGTCACCCATTGCTTCATAAATCCTCATCAAATCATCCGCCAAAGGAGATTCTAAGCTAATGTTTGGAACAACTGTATATCCTAAAGCATGCAACTGATGCCCAAGAGCAACCAGCCCAAAAACATATTGTGCAACATTCGTGCGGTCTAAACAGTCAATACAGTTTGTTCTTAGGACCCCTTTCTGAAACATTGGAGGCTTGATAGTATAACCTCCATCCAAGTCACCATTATGATTAACATTGACTTCAGCGTCCGAGTTTTGAACATCTTTAGTCATATTGCAGAGATCCACCTTAGCAGAATAATCACCCTTAAAAATGTTACTGCATTGAAGTTGAAAGTAGAAGAGTTAACATATAGTCAAAATCAATGGAAAAATACAAAAGCAAAGGACTGTAATGTTTGGCCTCCAGTGGACTCAACTGTTACAGCATCTCAGAGGGTATAAATCTACATGAATGCTAGCAAATTATGAGAAAAAATGTCCAGAAAGAAGAATGTAAAGTTAGTCAAGAGTAAATATCATATCTTTGACAAAGGTTTAAAAATAAAAAAAAAGTTCAACACTAACCTAAGAATAAAAAATATAAGCTCAAATACACTGACCAGATATAAATTGATGCTCATAAATCAAAGTATGTCATGGAATATTTTAAGTGCGAGTAATAAAGTGCTTTTAAAAGAAACCTGAACCAGACCTTAAATAGCTTTACAATAATCTTAGCAGTTAAGAAAAGTACCATAAAACCATGTTTTCATCTAATGATGATTCATTGGTTTTCACCATTATGCTTATAAATAAGTCGCACTTTAAAATTCCGTAGATCGCATTTTCAAAGTATTTGATTCATCGGGTAATGGAGTGAAGTAATTGTAAAGAGAACTAATGATTTAGAAACCAAACTATGGAAAAGACTAAACATACTCAAAAGTAGGACCGGTTTAGCAATTTCCCTTACCTTGAAGATGGGATTATCTGACAGTAAAAGAAGCCAGTCAAGTCCAATGCATTAGCAGCCACTTTGTCTAAGTATGCTAATACACTCGCAGCTTTGCTGAAAATAGACAGAAAATATATGTCAACTACTACACTTCATCGACGAAACAGAATGAAGCAAAATAGAAAGAAGAGAAGCCCCAATTTACTTTCTAGAGTACTTATTTAAATCCCAGTGAAGAAACATCAGACGATTCTCCCCTGTAAGATCTTTATTAATAAACTCTATGGCTTTAGCAAATTCTGCACGTAGAATAGATTCTCTTGGCTTCTTCTCACGAGTCTGGTAATCATGAAGAATATGATAGCAAAATGAGGATTAGATCCACTAAACATTAGAGGACTAAATGTTAAATCAGTGTATACCATAAACATACAAGTCCATCAACCACTACACAGGCATACCTTAATCAAATTCAATATAATAATAGGATTTCCATATCTATTTACTAAATTATCAAAATGAAGTTTGGTGGCTTCATACTTATTGTCCTTCTGTGATACTGCAAAAGGAAAGAGCATCAAAAGAGTGATATGTTAGAATTTGGAAAACAGCATGTCAGAATTTATGAGCCATACATGTGATGTTGGGTTTTATGTTCAATCGTGAAGTCTCCTGTGACCAAAAGAGGGGTATAGAGCCCCGGTTCTGCACAACAGAGGATAATTGTATTGGGCTTCCTTCTGGAACATCCTCTAGCACAATTTGTTCTGTCTCGACATCATTGGCCACACGTCCTTTCTCATTCACACCACGTTTTAAATATCTGCAATATGGAAAGGAACAGCAAATAGTGACAAAGTATAATAGAATGGAAACAGCAGCCTTTGATCTATAGAATTCGTAGTTAGATGGTTTCTAGAAGAACAGACCCTTGTGAGTCCAGCAAATCAAGAGGTACAGTACTGAAATGAAGCATACATTTCCGAAGATAGATAAAGTAGTGGTAGAATCAAGCACAGAGACAAGGTGTAGAATAAACTATGAAGTCAAGTTGAGATAATTATGCTAAAAAAATTGAAATGAATGCACTCCATTAAGAAGTATAGTCCAGATTGTTAACGAGCTGTAAGAAAATTAAAAAACGCCAATAACTTAAACGCATTCAAACCTGGTTCCAGCATAATGACGGGATCGTCTCGCAATAAGGGTTAGGTTGAAATCCCGCCCAGATATAGAAAGTTTGATCTGTTAGTAAAAGATAAAAATAAAGACCCTTTAAACTCATATAGTAAGAAGAAAATTAAATGATAATGTGAAAGCTCTATCATTATGGCAGTCAATGAAGCAAATGTATAACAATAAAATATACACTTCTTTTAATAACAAAGATTCATACTTTTACATCGCAGAAATATTGAAAACTATACTACAAATGCCTAAAAGCGTTAGGAATGAGTTACTAAAATTTTAGGAATAAATGAAATGAAATGAAACCAATCAAGATATGTGCAGCATATGTAATGATCAGGTAATGCAAAGGAAAATAATAGTATAGCTAATATAGTAATATTCTAGTAGAAATGATCAAATCTTGCTTCTACTTCCACCTTTGAGAAACACTAAGTGTAGATACCTGCTTGAAGAATCCATAAACCAAAGCTACTGTCCACACTGTATTCTTGAGCTGACTGCGAATTCCGCGGGTTAAAAACTCATTCCAGACAAACATTGTTTCATATAGGATAAGTCCTGTTTTATGATTGCTTAGATTTTTCTGAAGACTAAGCATAACGTGATAGGAGTAGCTGAAAAAGAAGTCCTTCGTAAGATCCACAGTGCGTAGGAGCTTCCTGTATCTATGTCATCAATACAAAAAAAATCAAGAGGATGACAAAATAGTTAATACAAGACCAGTACATTAATTTAAAATGAAATTTACAGAAGTGAAAATCTAATCTTTTTTATTTTTTATTTTTTTTTTTAAAAAGGCATCCCTCCTGAAGCCCTGGTGATACCTTGTCTCATTCAACATGTTAAATTTACATCACAACACCAGTGTGGTTTGCCCCTGCACATTTGATGGCAAAATACTGGCAATGGACACTAGAATAAATCTAACAACCGATAGATTGAGAGCAATACTAAATATACTAAAATTTGGTTGAGGATAGATTGAGAACAATGCCAAATATAAAATTAGAATATCCATAGATTCATTCTCTACTTTACTAACAAGAAGATGGGTGAACACTTATGTATAACATGAATTTAATAACTTGAAAGATCGGCATTATAATGAAGGGAGCACCCATAAAAAAGATAAAAACAGAAGTTACCCCACAGTATGGAACTGGTGTGCAATGATAAAAAACACAATCTATATCTAAAAATCAAATATATAAATGAGAGAAACACATCTACGCTAAAGATGATGATCATCAGATGCATAAATATAACAGGCACATTTAATTTTATTTACTGCATTCTCAAAAATATCGCTGACACTTTATATTTACATGTGGAATTGACAAAAGACCTGTTCTCATTCTTGGAATAAGCCATATTTGATTGCACTGTAGAATTGGGAACTGGAATCGTCTCGCTCTTGGCAATTGCATATACTTCATGACCACATATTGTTCCAATCTTCCTTCTTTTTGTGATAAGCAGCATGTAATATGGTTCCAAAAATTTTATGAACCCTGACATCGTAGAACGGAAAACCATGAGTTCTGATATTATGAAAAATCAAATTCTATTTTATATTATAACTGAAATGGACAGTTTGATAAAGCAGAAAAAAAAATTTAAGATATAACCCACCAATGATCCCATAGCAAGTGGTGACAAATTTCAGTCCACCGGTAGACTTGTTTCCTTCATGTATTCTTTTCACGAGGTCGTAGCATTCAATTTCCGAGTATGTCGTAGAGTCTTCGATGATGTTCAGCTCAGACTGTTCTGATCTGTCTATCTTCAAGACTTTCCAGCAAGTTCTACGTTTGTCTCGTCCAATCATATAAAAGTGCTGTTGCATCAAGAATTATAAGAGTAATTTAAGTGGAATAGTACATGAAAATGTATCATCCACAGATTTTCAACTACTTGTACAAGACGACGAGGAATAAGCTAGCAATAAATGAAAAAGAACTGCATCAGAAACAAACTAACGGTGACTGTGCAACAAAAAAGTCAAGACTCATTGTTAGGAGTTTTAAGTGAACCACATTATCTGATCCTAAACCTAACCACATAAATATAGGCAGTACCAATCTCATGAAGTCTCCAAATGAAAGATGTAATGTACATATGTATGCGTCATGCCTTTGAAAATGTTTTAAATGGTGATGTGTCAATATACAGCTATTTACATAATATTGACCAGGTCGATCATAATTCTACAACTAAAAATAGAAAGGTTCCCTTACCAAGAGAATTAAAATTGCGGGCAATCATTCATTGCATCTATGTTTGAGACATCTAATACAAACATTAAAAACTTCTCTTTTTAGTTGGAAAGTAAGATTTGTCAGTCCAGAGCCTCATTATCTATATCTATAACATCTGATATCTTCCTTGTGGTAACTAGATAGTTTTCTATTCAGAAATTAAGCCCCCATTTGGACCCCCACTATTTAAAATTTTAATTGTTAGAATAGTGGTTTTTTGATAAATGTGTGGTCAAAAACAAAGAAAAAGTTTTGAGATTACACGTAATATTATTTTATGGGAAAATGTGTAATTGATAAGGAGAGAAAGAGAAATGAATTATAAATTTATCGGGGGGCCAAACAAGGACTAAGTTTGTCTGCAATAAAAACTTGAAATCTTTGAACTTTGTCCCTTGGCAAGAGTGTTTAATACGTGCCAAAAATTTGTTTAAAGAATGTTAATAAGCACTCAAGACGAGAACGTTAAACCTTTAATTTAATGACGCTCAATGTGAACGCAGTCAAAGTGATATACACGTGTCTTACAATGTCTACAGATACGAAGCGCACAAGAATCCTTCTACAAACGTGACATGCACAACCTACAAACCCTTCTCTGTTATTATGTTATTTTTACTAGGGTTTTGAGCATAAGATGGACTACCAGATTCATCCCAATTCCCAACATACTGATGAAACTTTCATGTCATACCAAATTCAACTTCATCATTCAGAAGTTCTATAACTTTTTGATTTTTCTCTTACGATATATATTTAAGGGCAGGATAGCCTGTGTTTTCTAGGTGAACCGATGTAGTCTTTAAGTTTTCCCATAGAAAGCAACTCTCGTTATAAACATTGTTAAAAGAGAATAGTTACCCCTGACTCAATCATCATCTCCAGTAACTCTCAAACTACTCTAAAATTTCAGAGCAACAAAAATTGAGTCCACGCTCTAAATTGAAAATTCAAATAAACTAGAAGAAGTTTGTTCGCGTTTCTGTTAGTCAAAATCCAAATGCTGACCAGCATTTGAAAACAACTGTCTCAAGAAGATCATAAACTCATATCCATTAATTTGAATAAAAAAAATCGATATATCAGTAAATCAAATCCCAAAAAAAAAAAAAAAACATAAGATGCAAAAGAAGATCTAACTTATTGGCAAATATAACCATACCGAGCGTGTCTCGTAGAGCCTGAATTTCTGCAAATAGTTGCCGCTGCAGTTGGACTCCACATTGAATCGAACCTGTTGCTGACTGTTTTCCGGCGCCATGTTTCCAATCCCGAGCTTCAAACCCGGGCTTTGACTTCAAATCACAACTCAACTCCACACCACAAACCCTAGAAAGCTCTGCAGACCATCTACAGGCATACATACATAAAAAAAAATGTTCTTCTCCAACTCCTCAGCCTTCACTGCAAAAAAATTAAATAATAAAAATTCAAAGGCTCAATAGACTACAATGAGACTGAATTCCAAAACCTCTACGGAACCGGGGTGAAAAAAAGAAGAAGAATCAAAAAAAACATCAACTTGATAAAGAAGTGCATCTGGATTCAAAAATGCGAGAAAGATTGTTACATGTAAATAAAAAGGGAATGAATTAACTCAACCGTCGAAAGAGAAGTTGCGAAGAATGCAAGAGTTTAAGATGTGCACAGATCGGGAGAGCAGAAAGGGAAAGAAACAAAGCTCCGGCGACTACGTCCACAAAAAATAAGGAAAAAATTTTATGTACTTGCGTAGATATAAGTTGTGTTTAATTACAACTAGGAATGAATGCGGTAAGCATTGTATTTTGAAGTTTTTAATATTGTACTTGCAACTACTATTATTTTCTTTTTCTACAAATTTAAATGTTCCAAATTAGGATTTTAATGAAATTCAATGAAATTTTTTAAAATTTAAATATTCTAAATAACTAGTGAATTTATACAGATTTCATTAATAGAAAAATTTTAAAAGATTTTGATAGATTTCAAGTTTAAAAACAATTAAATTTTTTGAAATTTCACCATATTTAATGGGATTCTTTTAAAATTTGGGAAAGTTTATTCAATTTTATAAAATTTATTAAAATTTATAATATTTTAAAATCCATCAAAATCTTTGCTGTGAATATCGGAAAGCAATTCCTAATTTTGATTTTGATCGTGGACGAAAACTCTCGTCAATATTTTTTAATATAATTTATACTTACGCGTTAAGGGTTGTGATATATTGAAAAAAAAGGTTGATTATGAGATAAAAATTCAATAACTTGTTGATTACTAGGATGGAATTAATAAACAATTGCTAGTTGTTAATGATTGAACACGTAAATATATTTTATTTTATTTACATGATGTGACGCGTCGGACGAGTGATTAATCTTGCTAATTTTATGTTAAGCAATTAAGTTCATATTAACTATCATTTAAAATATAGAGTAAGAGAAAATGCGTGTATTATTTAAATTTGGATCTTGCTCAGCCGCAGCAGCCACGAAGAATATGCCAGCTGGTTACAGTATAATGCTTAATTGCAATTGTAGAATGATTCAAGTCTTGTGAACACCAAAATACATATATATTTATATACAATGATCTGCTTAGCGTATATTAAGTATCGATGACATTGCACACTATTTAATTAGTAAATCATTAAAATCGTAGAACCTACCATTAACTTATTTGAAATTCATAAATCTAATACGAAATGATCTTTAAAACTATAAACATTTTCAAGAAACTTTCTGAATACAAATGCTCGTATTTTAAAGAACAAATGCTTAAAAATAAACTCTAATTGAATACTTTTAAAAGAAAACTAAGTATTAAAATATGTAATTTATTAAGCCCCTGTTTAAGTCTCATTCTTTAAAAAAAATATTTTTAAACAGTATTTTGACATCATTTCAACATATACTCTGTAATAAAATAATATTACACGTAAATTCAAAAAAATTTCTTATTTTTAACAACACATTTCTTATCAATGCACTATTCAAAAGTTTATTCTTATGGGAAAAAATGGAACTAAATGTAATCATTGTACATTAAGGATAGAGAGTGAATTTGACTATCTTTCTCGAAGCATCTCCAATAAAAAAAAATTTATTTTCAAAGCGTCTTCAAGAGACTATTTATTTATAATTATGCACTATAGAAATCATCTTTGAATTTGGAGTGTTGGCGTGTCAGCCATTGTTTAAGCTTTGACTATTTAAAAATAAGGAGGATTTTGTATTTAGAGAGGCTATTGGAGTTGCCCTAAAAGAGTGGTTAATCTTTATTCTTAATAAACAATTATTATATTTAACGAGTCACAAATTTCAATAATATACTTTATAAACTATTCAAACTACATTTTAAATGATTAACCATTGACGCATAAGTAATTATGTTAAATAAAAACATGAGGAAAAATCAATAAATGTTTTCATCCGGAGCTCGAGGGTTAAATTCCAGGGGAAGTCATGCAAAAAAATAGCTCGATGTCGGGATGATAAATCATTCTTATTTCATTTTCAACGAAAGAGAAAGGAAAAACCAAAAGGACGACTTATTCAAAAAAAAGGGGGACCACAAACTATTATTCCCTATTTGGTGGATATTAAAATTAGATTTTTAGTAGATTTTGATAAAAGTTGATGAAATATGTGAGGAAAAAATTATGAGTCTCATGAAATATGTAATTAAAATTAAGAATTCTTAATTTTAATTTAAATGAAAATTTTGATTTTGATTCATATTTAAAAAATAATATTTTAAGACAATGCTATACATATTGAATTTTTTACCTACTACTCACAACAAGGGTGAGAATCACGGACTGTCATTTTTAAATTCACGCGGAGCCCACCATACATTGCGAGAGGGGGGCCACCATTCGATAACCCCCTCTGTACATATATATTTATTCAGGGTTATGCTACATGTACATTATGGTATATATAAATGTGTCCATAATCTACAAGTAGCATAATATTATTGGAGGTTGAAAAACAGATTTTTTTAACCTTCCAATCATAGAATTTCACGTATGCATTATGGACATTTTTATGAATACAATAATGTATACGTAGAATTATCCAAGATTTTAATGGGAAGTAAGCAACCCAAATTTCAAATTTTTCATAATATTTTTTTAATAAAATAATTACCAATGGAAGGAAATTGTGAGTGGGCACCTGGATACAGCTAAGATAGATGACGTGGTAAACGGTAACGCGAAACTTTCTGGAGCTGACAGATGCACCACGTGTTTAGTATTTTCTTTGGATTGGGCAATTTCAACATTTACGTGTGAAACTTTGGTGTTCGGCCAACTTATAGGTTACTTGGCTTATCACCACAAGTTGACGTGCGTTTATTAAAAAAAAAATAGAAAAGTTATTAATGCAACATGTAAAACACGTGCCAGTGTTCTAAATTATAATTAATACAAAAGAAAATAATAGAAATTCTGGTAAAAAAAAATTTTTTTTATTTTTTTATTCCTTGTTTATATCTCACGGACAACACTTACAAAGTCTATTTATAAACATTTGATTAATGCTATGGGACCTTTTCGTTGTCAGGTGATACATTTTAATAATGAATAAATAACATTATTCTAAACATCCATATAATTTTACAACATTTATTGAGAATTGAATTAATGCAACGTTTAACCATGAAAATTATGCAAACTTGATTTCGATCTATTACAGCCTGATTGGGAGTGATTTTTTTACCCAAAAAATTAATTTTTTGACCGTTATTTCACTATTATAGCCGTCATATTTGATTTCTTCTCTCACATGTGAATCCTACTTTTCTCCTAACGGTTAAAAAATTTATTCTCAAAATCACTTCGAAATAGACTCTTAATCTGGTCTTCAACTTTTCATATAGTTAAAAAATTAGTCTTTTCCAATGAAAAGTATCCATAGTTTGTGGGTAGATTCTCGTGCCATGTAGCCTTTACGAGAATAATTTATGTTTCTGAAATTTAACTTCCTATTAAAAAAAAAAATTATTGAGAGCCCTGTCCTTTAAAAACTTATTATGCAACTATATTAAAGGTTCGAGCCGCAACTTGTGACTAGCTTCCAATTAAAATAAACAACAAGTAATTTTCCCAAAATAGAAATTGTACTTCTTTTTCTTTCTTATTGCAGTGAGATAAGAGTTTGAAAAGGGCCAATAATTGAGAGTCACGAATAGAGCTAAAGTTGTTGGATTCTCCATTAGTATTCATGTCTACATCCAACTTCGCACCTTGACGAAATGGTAATGATGAGAATAATTGCATTTGCCTTTTCTTATGTGGCAAGTGGTAACCTTTAACTTTGAAAATTCCTTGCTAAATAAAGCAGTCTTTTAAGATTTGTACATAGCACGAACAAAATGACAACATCAATCAATTTGTCAGATTCTTCTAGGCCGCAAGCTTTACTGCTTTACTATTTTTATTTTTTTTCTTTTATTCTCTCCATCTTTTTGATGAGCGTGAATTGATTTAAATTACATTAACTTGTCTAACACGTCTAACTAGTCTTCTACTCTTTCAAACTCTCCCGAAAGTAATATTCTCTCAATTTATATTTTCATGCACGAATACAAATAGCCAACTTTGACTTTATATATTCGAAAAGAGACATGTAGAAACTAGTGAGAAATGATGTAGAAGTGTTCAAGGATAAAAATATCAGAAAGATCAAATAGTGGTCCATAGACCATGAATGAAAGGAAGAAAAAGACAAGAAATCGAGAACAATCAACACACGGAGAAGAGAGATATAAGACACAAACCTTACTATTTTGACAAGGGGTTGTGAAATTTAGGTGATTCTTATTTTATTCTATTTGATCCATGTCAATTGATTATATTACATCAAGTTGTGCAACACGTCTTATGTGCGAGGATGTCCTAATTCATCTTCTACCTTTCCATACTCCCTTGAACTCTCATTTTTTCAATTTATATGTTCTTTCACGAATACAAATGGCTTCAACTTTATATATTAAAAAGTAGTGTTGAACGGCCTCGTGTTAGAGAAATTACAAATTTTATTTATATGAATTTTCTTTTAAACATTTTTTTTTTCATTTGTAGGTGTATTCAAGAATGTTTTGGTTGATTATTATTTTATTTTTTCTCATCTTTTAGTCTCAAGTGAGTTCATTTTTATTATATGAAGTTACATGGCATGATTTATATGCGAGCATGTCTTAATTTTTCTTTTGCTCTTCCAAACTCTCTTATTCTCTCAGTTAATATTTTGTTATTCAAAAATAAATAGCTTCGACCGTAAAGAGTGTCAATGTGTTTGATTCACATTCTTTTAAACAAATATATTTTTAAACAGTGACTTGACACCATTGCAACCACACATTCTTCAATAAAATAATATAACACGCAAATTCAAATTTTTCTTATTTTTTAACAACACATTTTTCATCAATACACTATTAAAAAAATGCATTCTTGTTGAAATAATGTGGCTCAAATAAGAGCTATGTAACTTTTCTTTTCAATGTATTTTATGACCAGCACACTGAACTTGAAGTCTTGAATTCATTATTTTTATCATATTTGTTGTTAATATATATATATATGTGTGTGTGTGTGCGCGCGCGCGTGCGTGACTGCTATTTAGGATAGGGATTTGTTAATTGTTTAGCGGTGTGACTAAACCATATACGTTGATTAATCAAGCTTAGCTTTTGTCTGGGCTCTTTTAATGA